GGTTTTTTGTTTTCCGTTAGATTGGATTTGGGTGAAACTCTGGTAATGTGGACTGAAATTGGTAAAAAGCTTTTAAGGTGTTTGGGCATAGGTTACTTAGGGCTGAATAAAATTGGGCGAGGTTGTTTTGGGATGGTTGCTGGATGATGGGTTTTTTAAGTACTGAAATAGGGGACACCTTTTCCTCTTTCTGTTTCTGTTTTTGTTTATTTATCAATAAAATTTCTTTTGTTACCGAATCAAAAAAAAAGCACTGGAATAGGGCTTAAGGTAGGTGCGTAGGGGCCAAATATGTGGGAGCTGGTAAGACTTGGTTTGGGATTGGCTGAATGGGTTGGATTGGGTTAAGTGAGACAGGTGTTGGCTGATATAGTTTTAAATGGACCGGATAAGGGTTGGATTAGGTCAAATTTAAATGGGGATTGGCCAAAAAGAACAAAAAAAGGGGGTCAGGTTCGGGTTGGGCTAAGAAGCACGAACACTTTTAAAAAGATGTCTTAGTCATGTCTATATCCACCATGTGCCCGACACTGACACTCATCCTTCCCAACATGTGTCTAACACATGTTCAAATGTGTCATATTATTTTTTTAATTTGAGCAATACTAGAAACCACACTGTATAGAATTTTTGATAGTTTTTTTTTTTTTTTTTTTCTTGGGGGATCTCTAGTATTTTTGTTTAAATTTTTTACAAACACGATTCAGACACTTGGGAGGCACATGTTCATAGCTTGGACACTTACTAAATATATTATATGTTTGAAAAAAATAACTTACACAATACAATATTAAAAAAGAAAAACAATATAGATTTATAAATTATACTTATTAATCCATTCTCCTTTAAATTTTAGGAATGAGTGTCCTGTTGTATTTTTATTATCCTTGAATGAAAAATTCATATGTTATTACATAACAAATATATAAAACTATATATTTTGTGTGTTCCCTACATGTTGTGTCCTACATCTTTTTTAAATTGACCTATCTTAGGGGTTGGGCTTTAGTATTGGATCGGATAGAGGTTATAAGGATTGGGTGAGTTGGGTGGGTTGGATAGTGGGTGAGGTTAATGGGTTTGAGTCTTAGAGTGGCGAGTCAAGTTTACGTTTAAGAAGTTGGGTCAAGTCAGGGTTGACCCTTTTTGCCTTCTTTATGGGGTCAACAAACCCTAGTAGAACTCCCAACAACCAATAAGGTTAACGATGGTGAGTGGCCATGATCATCGACGGGTTGTCAACCTGAATTGGTCGATGATGAGAGAGAGGATGACAGGGAGTGGCATGGTGAGGCTAATTCAGTGTGAAGCAGTGGTTGTACAAAGAGGCTAAGACAATGTTGGTCGTCGGAGGAGCTGATTGACAATGGAGGTGATCCATAAGGCCATGTCGATTTGTCAGACTAGGTTGGATGGGACAATTAATATAGTGGAATTGAGAGAATTACTAGTGTGGTGGCATTACGTTGGAGGTATAATATATATTGTGTTTGTTTGTGTACTACTGTGGTGGTATTAGTTAATTGGAATTAAATATATAAAATTATGTTAAAGTCATTATATAAAATTTAACTTTGTTATTTTTGTAAAATGGAGGGCAAAATTGTCTTTTCTCCTCTAATTCTCCTCGGACGGTATTAATAGTCCCAAGGTACCATTAGTCCCGAGGCTTTTGTTCCAACCAAAGACACTTTTTGTGGGACCCAAGGGATTACCAATCCAATCCCATGACCCTTGGTCTAAAACAAACAAGGCCTAAATGATCAAGGTTGTAACAAAGCTGTGTTGATGTGAATTTGAAGACGATGGGCATCGCTCTCACTCTGTCTTGATTTCGATTTAGAGTTTGGATATGATTTTAACCTGATACCAAATTAGTTGTGGAACCACGAGGGAGAAAGAAGAAAGAATAACACAAGTCATAACACTAATCACACAAGGTCACAACCTTAAATACTTTCAATCTTATTAATCTACTCTTAACAAAACAACGCAAAAACTTAATATTTATATACTAATAATCATAATTAAAATAGGAAACTATTTATCAAAAAAAAAAAAAAAGGAAACTAAATCCTAATACATAAATTAAATAATAAAAAATATATATATGAAGCTAGAATCCCCAACATAATAAGCAACCAAATATTAGTAAAATTCCAAATTAGATACTAAATTCATAAAATTGTAAGTGAAATCTCCGTACCAAAATTGGTACAAGCTCGTTCCACATCAATTTTCCTTTTCAATTTATCAAATTCTATAATAAAATCTAAGGTATTCTATGTTTTTATATCTTTCCTTTTGAGAAAAAGGCAAATTGAAATTATCATTGTTGAATATTCCTAATAACTGTCTAAACAACTCATTGTTTCAGCATGCTTCATAGTGTTTCATTGTGGTTCAGTGCATTGTGGTGGAAACATTTGGAGTTGTGGTATTCACTAATATTTTGTTTTATTTTCCTATGAAACGGAAACATTTTGGCTGCTTTGATGAAAACGAAATGAGATTTTGTTCCTTGGCCTTACCTTTGTTTCCCTCCTTTAAACCCTAGTTTACTGGCCTATGCCATTTTTCCCACAACCTAACAATCATAGCACATAAAAATAACACAAACTAGCTGAAGTTACAGCTCACCAAAACTGTCCATCATGCCCAGAACAGCCTTCAAACAGGACCTACAATCTTTTCTTCTCTTTTCTTTCTTTCCATAGGCCGTCCCATTTTGTCACCACATATAAATGCCAAGAAATCCCATTTTTGTACTTATGTTTCAGACCCAAAAAATCAACCCCTAAGCCTTTATACACAATTTTTGGGCTCACTACTAGTAGGAGAGTGTTCCCAGCACTATGCTAAGCCAAGTAACTTTTTTGTATTATTGTTGCTTGGGGTAGTTTGGTCTTTCTTTTCTTTCTTATTTTTTCTTTTTGGGTCTTATTGTTTTATTTAGCTTCTTCTTTGTATTACATTGTTTTTGTTAATGAAAGATCAGTGCTGTCTATGACGCTTTTTGTTGTTTTCTGGTTGTGATGCTAAACCTGGTTAACACACTTCTCCTACATCATTGTACTTGTGGAAAATTAGAGTTTAAAAAAAAAAAAAAGATTTTTAATTTCTGGCACAGTTAACCACTGGCTGTTTACTAACTTAATGAGCCAATAACCTTCTAATAAACTTGGCATGTCAATTAACTAGGTAATCATGAAATGATTTTGTGACTCAGACCCACAAGAGCAGAAGTAGTTGGTTTGAAACATCCTTTTGAACACAAATGAAGGATGACTCTTTTCAACCAACACCTTATTAGAGAAAAAAAAATTAAAGAACAGATATTTTTTAACTTCAATTACAAAGGTGCTAGCATAGAACTCCAAGAAATACACTCCTTAGTTCCCTATTTTGCTAAATGAAAATTTTAACAAGTAAAATTAAAAATATGAAACTCAAACTATAAGATCATGTTTGTTTAGTAAATTAGGTGATGAGATTGGATTAGCAATCTGGTGGCCCTCACATGAATTGTGTATAGATCCTCTCTATTAAATCATCCAAGATTGCGGAAAATTCACATGAATAGTTGTAAGGATTTTTTCTTAATTTGACATAAAAATAAATTTACATGAATATTTCAAAACTCTTGGATGATGTAACTTTGTTAAGAGAGTATGGTTGGATGTATGTAAGAAGATAAAATAAAAAATTTAACTTTTTTAAGGATGTGCAATTAGAAAGGGTGTAAAGAGTTCCTTTCGTTGGGTAAATAGAAGCTCCCCAAAAAAAATGAAAATTTCTGATATGTTTCAGAAATTCTAATACAATTTAACTTGCAAGAAACTCTTGGGAAATTCCAAAAAACTTGTTATTGTAATGTAATTTCCATAATTTCCAATATATTTTCTTTGCTCTCAAAGATTATTTTTTAATAATAATGTCATTCTTATTAAAAGTTTCTCTAACTATTATTTAGCATTAATATTTTAACACATTATTCAGAAATGTACATAACCCATGTAGTTTGGAATAAACTGCAAAATTAGCATAATTTGTTAAAAGTAATAGTGATTGTGGTTCAATTTTTATTGAGGTGCACGATGATCATGTTTTGATAAATTTTGAGAATGAAATTATTTCGCTCTTTTTCTTTCTCTTCCCTATCTATTCTCTTTTCCCCTCTTCCTTCTCTTTCGTTTCTATTCCTTTTTTTTTTTTAATTTAATTTTTTTTTTTTTTTATAAAATAAGTTGGTGTGCAGTTCATCTTCTTCCTCGGTGTTGTTTTTTTTTTTTTTTTTTTTTTTTTTTTTTTTTTTTTTTTTTTTTTTTTTTTTTTTTTTTTTTTTTTTTTTTAAAAAAAAAAAAAAAAAAAAATTGCCAATATTGATCCAATGTTATCAAGTAAAGTGGGTCATTCATCCAAAGCACAGTCTAACCTGTACCACCAAGTGATGTGGTCCTAGTGATTCAAGAAAGCCATATGTGCAGAACTAGATAAAACCCACCCAAAACAAATTCAACCAAATAAATCTGTCAATGAATATGCTCTGTATATAAACTTGCTGAAAAGAACATGCATAAATATATGTGTTTATTGCAAGTCTAAGAGTTAATGCATGTAAGGAAAAAGAAAATTAAAAAAGAAAAGAAAAGAGGCATATGTTGTGCATTCGCATCATTTCCCATGCGGTGCCTTCTTGGACAGAACAACTAGTTGTAGCACTTTACTTACAGATACATTAATATGAAAGTGAGGAATCCATGGATCCGTTAAATTGAAAGTGGGGAATCTACCTATCTACAATATACAAAGCCAAATAGATGGCTCCTAAGTTGTCAAGGAATGGGTAGGCCGGAAAGGAGGAGAGAGGGGAAGCTAGTAGACAACAAGAATGGATTATGCGCCTATTCAATTTAAATGAACTATTACATTACTATAACATTGATCAGGGCAGACAATACCAACATGAAAGCAACTAGGGAAAAAATTGATGGCCTTACCAGCTGAACAATAACAAAAATGAATGCATGGTCCCTTGCAACAAGAAATTGAAATTTCAATCTCAACCACCAGCGATCAGGAGGAACATTTGCACGTAATATGAACACTGCCCTGCACTCTGTGCAGTGAGCAAAAGCAAACCCCTCCTGAAATAATGAAACATGTAAATAATAAGTAAAAGAAATTGGGTAGATATAACATATTAATCTTACGTATCAAATCAGAGACTCAGTAAACCATGCTTTTTTTTTTTTTTTAATTCTACGCCATGTACCAATGAAATAAAAGGGGTGAATATCAAAATGGATTAGCCTCATTTTGTGTGATCCGATGTTTCCCAAAACAGCATTACAGAAACGTCAATCTGTTAATAAAGTATCAGAGGTGAGAATCAGAAAAGAATCATTACCTTAGTTGACCTCCAATTATCAAGACATGATCTGTGGACATACTTCTGGGTGCCTTTGCAATGGCATGGTGCAATCAAGTCTTCCCCTGAGAATGCAAAAGTAAGTGCCTCGATCAAACTATATTACAGAGCATTGATTCACCATCATTCACGGCAACAAATATTATAAACAATTAAATTAACTATATACATACATCTTGTTTTTGTCAACAAAGATGCATGGCCAGCATGTATTTAAAAATGAAAAGAAAACACTGAGCTTGATGGATAGTATAGACCTCCAATATCAAGGCATATACGACATTGTGGTTGGTCTGCATTCACCAGATTGCAATTTTCATCGACATCAATACTTTGTGAGTCATCAGCAGAAACAGAACAATCTCTGTCTATAATTCTTATTTCAATTGAACATGAAGATTCTTCAGATCTTTGCACAATGTTAGACTGACACAAGATGGGTTCTGTCTCTGAACTATCTTCTGTCCGCCTATCATTCGATACTAATTGCATTGCGAAAAATGTGGAATCAGCATTACAAAGCAAAAGTCATTCCTAAAGCTATTAGTTCTACTGACCATTTCAACATAAATTAAGAATCCTGCAAAATAGAGAAAAACTTGCAGCGATTAGGAAACAGGATATTCAACATCTGTTATTTCAGAAAACAAACTATCATCAACTAAACTATTATTAGCCAGACAGCACAGCATACATATACATAGTTTACCATCATCCAACATATTATTACAACTGTTATATCTGTATCCATAAATATAGCTCTAAATCCTTGCAAATTAAACACTAGAACCAGGGCTACCAGAAATCGTAGCGCTTTGCGATGTGAATCGCACGATCCCAATCGCTGGAACGTAGATTTCGATGAACAATCAAAAAATTTACTTACAGGTCACAACGATGACAATTTTCGGCCATCTATCTGTTGATTTCGTCGTCGTTTGCTCTCCCACAACCTGTCGTCGACATTGTCCACCATAATCCAAGCCCTAGACCGTTGATTACCAATGAAACGTAATATATTTCATCGTCTTTTGCTCTTCCTCATCTCCTCGTCGCCGCACTAAATCGAAACCCTAGTTCATCAATATAGGAACAAAAAAGATTTTCTTTGGTCTCCATGTTTCTCTCTCCCTGTGTTTATCATCACAAGTTGAAAAGGTCGTATTTGAGAATATTGTCGGTTTTGTTCCTGTGTGCTGGTTGGTACACGTAGGATCAATTTGGAAAGGTAAGTAAACTTAAGCCAAGTATGCCTAGTACAAAATAATCTCTTTTTTTTGTTTCTTTTTATCTTTTTTTTTATTATATTATCTTTTTATTTTTTTACATATTTTTTATAAAAAGATAAAAAATACACTTATTTAAGTTATTACAAATAATTCCTTAATTTTTAACTTTTTAATTTGAGTGATATTATTTCTCATATTTTTTACATATTAAAAAATAAAAAAAGTCAAAAATAAAATAAAAATTTATTTTTAATTAACTTCTCGAATCACCCCTTAATTTACACTTATATTTTGTCTTATTATAATTATATGTCTTATTATAATTATATTTAAAAGGTTGACTATTTTAATTAATTTTTTAATTATTTTAATCTCATTAAAATATTTATATTTAAAAAATTATTTACCATGTTTAACTAAAATTTTAAAATTTTATTTTTTATTATATTCTATTATAAATTTATTAATAACGATAATATACATTAAATCTTAAAATGAAATTTTATTTTTTTTGTCACTGTACACTCTAATTACTTATACGTATTCTTTATATTTAAGTCTCTTCATCTTCTTATATATGTCCGAAATTTATTTTAAATATTGTAATTTAAAAAATTATTAATATTTTATTGTTAAAATTTTTTATTTAACATAATTAATTAAAAAATAAGAATTTTAATTATTTTCTTATATAATGATAAAATTATTTGAATTATTAATTGAAATAAATTTTTAATATCATTAAAAATTATTAATTGATTATGATTTATTAGTAAAAGAGGTCATTTGATATAAAATTTGAAATTTTAAAAAAGAAGATATAATTTTTAAAATCACAAGGGATAAATGGTATTTTAAGTAAATCTCAATAACTATATTTATAATTTATCTCTTTAACAAATAAAGATTAGCGCGAGTTAAAAAAAGTTAAAAAATTAATTAAAAAAAGTCAAAAAGATTAACAAATTAGGTGGTGTTTGATAAAGGGAGAATTGTGGCCCGGTTTACAAATCAGCAGAGGCAGATTGCAATTTACAACAGCTTTGGACAATGGAAAGTTTATTACCAATCCATGGAAATCTAATCTTGCAACTAAAATGACATCGTTTCCCCTCTTCTTCCCCTTTCCAAACCCAGCCACCATGTTCACTATTTTCAGCTCTCTCTCTCTCTCTCTCTCTCTCTGTACGTTAGACACTGGTCTCTTACTCTATGCTCTACTCCGCTCTGCCTTTGCCTATCTCTCTCCCTCTATCTTGTGTCGACTTCAATTTGGCTCATTCGATTTTCTTTTTCCCCTTTCCTTTTCATGCCCTAACCCCACGTCGGTCGACGAAATATCTCAGTGCCTTTCACTTTGGCTCAGTGCATGCTCCACCGGTGAAATTGAAGGAAGCTATCTTAAATTTAGAGGTAAAGTTAGTACATGCTTCTCTTTTTAACTATAAATAATTGATTAACCTAATTGTAATCATATATAAATACTAATTATGGTTGAGGTGAAATGCAAGATGAACAAAAAATTTAGTAAGCTTCATTGATTTGTAAGGATTGGTTTGGGAAGTGGATTGGCTTCTTTTTTGTTTTTTTTAGCCTGGGATTAAAAAGTTTAGTTTAGAAAAGGTTTTTGGGTTTTTTAGTTTTTTTAGATTTTTTTATGAAAGAAATTATGTAATAATTATAAGTTAAATGTGATGTTTTGTCTTATTAGTTAAAAAAATTATTTATTTATTTGGGCTATTTTAGTCACAAATAAAAAAAAAAAAAAAAAAAAAAAAAAAAAAACCTCCAAACCCACTTCCCAAACAGGCACTAAGATGTTCAAGTGTTGTCTAAATTTAGTTGATGTGAGTTCAATATTGATGCATTAAATAGAAATAACTCATGTACAGATTAAGTATTGGCTAATTTACCTGCTTGAGAAATTGCACAATTTGATTTAAGCTTGAATTCTTGCATACTAAGGTGGCGTTTAGTAACACTTACGTTTTCAGTTTTCAGTTTATATTTATAAAAATTTTAAAAACTATCATAAAAACTTATTTGGTAAATATTTTGGTTTATAAACCAGTGGTCTCAGTTTATAAATTTGGTCAAAATTTGTAAACTCAAAAAATGAGTTTACGTTTTCAGTTTTTAATTTTTTTTTTTGACCACCCACCACTCGCCATCACCTGCCACCATTTTCCACCACCGTCTTCTGCAACCACCACCCTCCACCACCGTCTTCTGCCGCCGCCACCCACCACCGTCTTCCACCACCGCTTTCCACCAACACCATCTTCCGCTGCCACCACTCGCGACCACCATCTTCCGCCACTACCACTCGCCACCACTTTCCACCACCATCTTCCACCACCACCACCTGCCACCACTTTCCACCATCGTCTTTCGCCGCCACCACCCGCCACCTGCCACCACTTTCCACCGCCGTCTTCCACCGCCACCACTTTCCACCACCATCTTCCACCGCCACCACCTGCCACCACTTTCGACCACCGTCTTTCGCCGCCACCACACGGCACTTGCCACCACTTTCCACCACTGTCTTCCACCACCACCATCTTCTGCCACTACCATCCGCCACCACTTTCCACTACCATCTTCCGCTGCCACAACCTGCCACCTGCCACCACTTTCCACCACCGTCTTTCGGCGCCACCACCCGCCACCTGCCACCACTTTCCACCACCGTCTTCGGCCGCCACCACCGTCTTTCGTCGCCGCCACCCATCACTTGCCACCATTTTCCACCACCGTCTTCCACCGCCATCATCCGTCACCTACCGCCACTTTCCACCACCGTCTTCCGCCAGTACCACCCGCCACCTGCCACCATCTACCATCACTTTCCACTACCGTCTTCCGCTGCCACCACCTGCTACCACTTTCCATCATTGTCTTCCGCTACCACCACCTGCCACCACTTTTCACCACTGTCTTCCGCCACCACCTTCCATCAATGTCTTCTACCGCCACCACCCATTACCTGCCACTATTACCCATCACCCGCCATCATCGTCTTCTGTCACCCCCACTCGCCACCATCCACCACTACCGTCTTCTGTCGCCACCCACCCGCCACCACCGTCTCCCGCTACCACCATCCGCCACCACTCGTCACCACCCGCCACGCCACTACTCGTCATTTCTCACTCTTTTAGTTTATATTTTTAAAAATTTTCAAACATTTCGTCCAAACCAAACGCATTTGTAGTTTATGTTTTTCGAAAAATAAACAAAAACCAGTTTATAAATTTTTTGTAAATATAAACTGAAAACATAAATGTTACCAAACAGGCCTTAAGTGTTTGTTAAAATGCATAGAAAAGAAATAATTATTGTTGTGGGATCCTTGTATATGAACTTGTTAGGTAATTGTGTTGTGCCCTTTATGTGTTTAATGAAATGCCTATTGCAATGTACATTGTTGGAATTGGATCATTATGTAATCTGTGCCTCATTAGGAGATAATAAGCTGGATTTTCTTCATTTAGTAATTGTTTTTTATTATATTTATTTGGGATCTTTCTTATGTGATGGTTGGGTTTAGGCCTGTAAATGGATCGGATTTGGATCGGATCTGTCAAAATCCGAATCCGAATCCGAATCCGATTAAGGAAAACCTGAATCCGATCCGAATCCGTTTAGTATATATCCGATTATAGATATCCAAATCTGAATCCGATGATTTCGGATATCCGATCCGATCCATTTATTTATTTACTGAGTTACAATTTTATATAATTTGATTTTTTTTTTTCATTTTATGTTTTTTCATTCAAATTGAGAATAGTCGAATCGAATTATCGGATTATCGGGTCGGATCAGATTTTTGCATATTCAATCCGTTTAATAAACGGATTAAATGGATTCGGATTATTGGATTATCGGGTCGGGTTTTTTTTTTTTTTTGTAACCGGGTTCGGATTATCGGATCGAATTCGGGTCGAATTCGGATTAAATCCGATCCATTGACAGCCCTAGTTGGGTTTCTACTTTGGAATATATTTGTGATAATGGAAATAGATTCTATTTCCATACATAATTTCCTTTCTGTACACACTGAATAATATTTTTATTAAATTTTACAATAAAATCAAATTACTAATATATACATTAGTACAGACATCACCTTATCTGAATTTTTTTCAATACACATTATTGAAATTAAAAAAAGTGCGCACAACACATCTCTTCAAATTGTAACACTTTTTTAGAGATAAGTGAAAGGTCTACACCCATGAGGCCATTGTCACATTTTAAAGTCCTCATCTTGCAAAGCTATAGTGCTAATTCCAGTTCTTCCATTGCCCTTAAACCTTCTAATTTGGGTGTATTTCAGTTCTTCATCATCACTCAAATCCATCCATTACAACCACCCTCACGCTTGATTTGTGTTACAAAGTAGTCACAAAATGAATGCTCAAATTTTGAGAAGGATATCATCGATTATAACAAATCTAACAATGAAAAGGTGAGTTTCAATCTTTAAAATTGTTTATCTTTTTTTCCAATCACGCTTTCAATTCGGTAAATAAGTGTTGAATCATGTACATTTGTTCGATTGTCAATTTTCGAAATAACTCAAAAGGTTGAACATTGAACTTCTTAGCCAAACACAATGTTCAATTATGTACATCCTAACCAAACACGGTGGTTTGAATTTCAAGTTGTGAGCTAAGTCGATTTTTTCAACACTGTACTTCTGAATAAGGATTAAAATAATTTGATTAAATTAATATATTCATCGAATTAAAAATCAACTTGGACTAGAGGTTCTATGGGTTGCTTGAATGAGGAAAATTGAATTGAAAACAAATTGCAACTTTTCCAGCCTCCAACAATGCACAAAGGGCACCACGTTTGGATGTGTTTATTTGATGTGTGTACATTTTATATATGGGGGCCAATCTATAATAAAAATTGTGTGGAGTGA